GTGATTGGGCAGCAGCTGCGCTCCCAGCGCCAGAAGGAGCTGAGCGCGGCCGGGTCCGCTTCAAGTCGCCCAGCACCGCGCTTCTCACTGCGCGGGCGCCCTGGGCATGCCGGCGGCTTCTTCAGCAACCTCTTCCGAAGGACCTGAGGGCCGTCCAAGGGGCCTGCCCTGCCATCTCTGGCTCACTTTCCTCTTCTGGGCAGTGGAGCGACAGGGCCCAGATTGTCTTCCAAAGGGGGCTGGTACCCTCCCAACCCAGGAAAGCTGGGCAGGGGCTAGGGGCTCCCTGGGAGCAGGCCCCAGCTTTGAGGGTCAGGGGCCCCAGGTCGGTGGTGGAGGGCAGGTGGGGCAGAGCTGTCTATTTTTTTAATCTATATAGGTCTTTTCTGAGCACCAGGGCACCAGGCCCCCTGCCCCTGGCAAGCTCTGGGGAAGGGGTGGGGGTGGTTATTTATGTATCAGATCAGATAGTAATATATAATTCATTGCACCGACTTAGTCTTCATTCTTGAAAAGAAAGCACCGGGAAGAAAAGCCTGAAATTTTATTTTGTAAAAAGAAAAAACAGTTCCGACCCCTGCTCGCTGAGGCCCCAGGCCCTCTCCCTGACTGAGAGGGTGGGTTTAGGGCCTCTTCCAGGTCCTCCTGCTCCGGCCCTACCAGCTTCGGGAGGTCAGAAGGACAGGGAGAAGGCCCGATAGCCCAGATTGGTGAAAACATCCACCCGGCAGCTGTTGCCTGCAGCTGTCAGCACCTGGAGGCAAGAGGGGGGTGACTGAGCTACCCACACCCCTGGCCTCCCAGGACCCCCACAGCTCCTTGCAGGACCCACCTTGCACTCCGGTGCTGCTGGCTGCTGGTTGAGACTGAGGCTGAGCAGCCCTGGGGAGGAACCAGGCACCTGGGCCTTCAGTTCCCCACTCAGTTGCCACTGGTTGACGCAGGGGCCCTGGCCAGCTGACAGAATCTGTGGAGAGCAGGCAGAGGGTTTCAGGGTCAGGAACTAAGAGACAGGAACCAGGCAGGGGTCGTAAAGTCACGGCAGCGCGCCTCACCAGGTCCTGGTAGAAGGTGACATGCTTCTGTGGTGCCCACATGGGGAAGACGGTGGTGGGTGTGGAGGACCGGAGGTGCCAGAGGGTGAGTGCTGGGCCTCCTCCACAAACCTGGGCAGAGAGGTGAGGGTCCCCCGCCACCATAAGCCACGGGCTCTCAGCTGGGAGGGCCCGGAGCCGCCACCCATCTTGCACTTTGCCTGGCTCACCATCCAGTCGGAGTCGGTTGCCAGGCATCCGATCCAGCGCCCATTGTGGGGCCTGGAGCACTCCTGGGAGGGAGGAGGGGAAGGGAGGAGGAGGTCACGGCACAGGAGATGCCCAGGGAGAAGGGAGGACAGGGTGTGTGGGGGGCATGCCCTCACCTCATGCTTGTAGACCTCAATTGTCTGGACCTCCTTGGCCAGGCGCAGATCTGTGAGGAAAACCATGAGAGGTACCCCACTTACCCCACCCCAGCCTTCCTCATCACCACCTTCCTCTCCAACTAGTCACTCCCTTACCCCAAAGCCGCACGGTCCCATCCTCGCCCCCAGACAGCACCTCAGGGTTCCGGTCCCTCAGCGCCAGGCAGTGGATGTAGTCTGTGTGGCCCCGCAGGGCCCGCTGCAGGGAGAGGGGCAGTGTCAGAATGCGATCCGGAAAGAATGCCTCCCCCTCCTGCCCGGCTCCAGGGCCCTCTCACCGTGAAGGTCCCCGTCTCTAGGTCCATCGTATGCAGCTGGCAGTCCCCCCCTGCCAAGATGAGGGAATTCTCCTGCAGGGGGGAAGATGGGGTGGGGTCACCCATCAGTGTCACATAAGGACAGGGATCAGGGAAGTATTCGTTTGGGCCAGAAACAGGGCAGGGTAGAGCCCTAGTCACAAAAGGCTCAGACCTTGGGGACGAGAAGCAAAGCGTTGATCTCAGGCACTTCCAGGCTGGTCCTGGAGGAGAGAAAGCGGGGTCAGCTCTGGTGAGGCAGCACCTGCACCCTCACGTGCCCTCTGCCCACGCGGCCCTGGCTTACCTGTACGGGGGCTGACGACACCATAGCTCCTTACAACCCTTCAGGGAGAGAAGCACTGGGTGACCTCAAAGGTTCTCTCGGGCTGGGTGCCCGAGGGTCCCTGCCCCTCAGCTCCACACTCCTTACCTTCTTGAGGATCTCTGCCCACAGCCAGGCCTTCACCTCCCCGTCCCCAGCGCTGAACAGATGTCGATCAGTGGAGACCATGCTGTAGACAGGCCCATCGTGGGCTAAATGGAAATGCAGAACCTGAGTGACTCTATCCTGCTCCCCTCCTTCACCTTGGGGTCCCCGCAGCCAAACTCAACGGCTGCCACCCACCTTGGAAGGTCACGATGGGCTTCTTACTTTCCTCTTTGGCCTCGGAGCTCAAAGCAGCAGACAAGCTGCAGGCGGAGGGGAGAGAGTGTCTGAGTCGGAAGCAGGGGGCATCAGTCCTAGGACGGCCACATACCAGAGCCAATGGGTGTTGGCGAGCAGAGGCCAGGGTACCTGAAGATGGCGATCTGCCCGTAATTGTTCCCAGCCGCCAGGAACTTCCCGCAGGGTGAAAAACACTGGGAGAAGATGGTCATGTGCAACCGCTGCAGGGCCTGAAACACCTCCATCTGTGGGGAGAGGCGGACGGAAGCTGTCTGGGCACTCCAATCCGCAGGCTCCTTCCTGGTCCCCCTACCGCCAGTTCAGCTGCTGCCCATACTTCTCAGACCTCCACTGAGGCCCCCTCAGCAGGCATCTGCCCATAAAGTCCCAGGGGTGGCTCCAAGGAGAGGGTGAGGAAGGAAGGGGAGAGTTGATGCACGGTGCCTAGAAGGACCTTGAGCAAGCACCCAGGCTCTCTTCCAAGTTTCCTTAATTGTTAAATGGAGCTCAGGGGAGATTCTGTCAAGACTGTATGAGCCACCCTGGCTGGTTTGGCTCAGTGGATAGAGCGTCGGCCTGTGGACTGAAGGGTCACAGGTTCGATTCCGGCCAAGGGCACAAGCCTGGGTTGCGGGTTCGATTCCCGGTGGGGGGCGTGCAGGAGGCAGCCAATCTATGATTCTCTCTCATCATTGATGTTTCTATCTCTCTCTCTTTCTCCCTTCCTCTCTAAAATCAATAAAATATATATTAAAGAAAAAAGATTGCATGAGCTACTGTATATAAAGAGCTTCACAACGGGCTGCCTCGTTGAAAGTGCACAAAATGTGGCTCCATTACCCCAATAAAGAATAACGTACTACTTCCTAAGCCCTACCCTCTGGCTTTCATGTTAGGCCCACGAGGTATTTCTGGCTTACTCTTCTGCCCAGGGGTCAGAGTCCAAGTCCTACCACCAGCCCGCGCAAAACAGGGTTCAGGACAACAGTACAGTGACGGCCTGGGGAAGGTGAGCAGGTGCAGGGTGGAGGGGGTCAATGGGGAGAAAAAGGGGACATCTGGAATACTTTCAACAATAAAGATACATTTTTAAAACTTGCCCTGCCGCCGAGGCCGGTTTGGCTCAGTGGATGGAGCGTCGGCCTGCGGACTGAGGGGTCCGGGGTTCGATTCCGGTCAGGGGCATGTACCTGGGTTGCGGGCACATCCCTTTTCTAAAGAGTGGGGACCCTTGCCCTGCCGGTGTGTTCAGTGGTTAGAGCGTCGGCCTGCGGACTACAGGGTCCGGGGTTCAATTCCTGATCAAGGGCACATGCCTGGGTTACAGGTCCCATCCCTGGCCGGGTTGGGGCGCCTGCGGGAGGCAACCAATTGATGTGTCTCTCTCGCATGGGTGTTTATCTCTCTGCCCCCACCCCTCCTTACCTCCTTCCACTCTCTCTAATCTATGGGAAAAATATCCTCGGGTGAGGATGAACAACAACAATAAAACTGGATTGTCTTGTTGAGTCCTAAGAGTCCTTTCTATATTCCTCATGACAGTACTTTAAGCAAAATAGTTTTTTAAAAAAGGAAAACGGTTCAGGGAAGGACTCCTTGCTCTCCCCTTCTGAACTGGGCATAGACTACAAACCCCAGAAGGCACCGCGCATCATGTCCGCCTCACCTGACCCAGAGGCACCGTGGGAGGCACGGCTCGCTCCATCTCGAGAACTACAAATCCCAGAGTGCTCCGCGCGACACAGCCTCCCGGGTCCGGACGTGTTCTGGATCGGTTTACCTTCCCGGCGTCCCACGGGCCCAGTACCGCCGGCAGGCTCGGCCGGCAGGCGGTCGCCGCGTGCCACCGGAGCCCCAGGAGCAGAGGTGGACGCCGCGAAGACCTCCCGGGCCCCGACACTAAGAGGCGCCCACCGCCGCCCCGCTACACCGGATCCCCTCCCCCACCCCGCCGAGCAGACCCGCCTTCCAGCCGCGCGCCACCCGTTTTCCGCGCCACGCGGAACTCGCTGCTGCGCGCGCCTAAAGCCACGCCTCTCGCGTGTGGCCACGCCCCCGGAGCTCCGCCTCTGCTGCCCGCATCCCACCCTCTGCCCCAGGACCCCGAACTCCAATGATCTTTCAGCAGCCCCTGGAGCGTGGCTCCCCGAGTCGGGCCCAACGCAACTCGGGGCTGCCTCGAAGCCTGGACGCGAGGTGTGTATGGGGGGCCCCAGGTGGGCCTCGCCCAGGGGCGCAAGAGCTTTGGCGGGGGGCTCAGGGCTCTTCTGCAAGATGACACACAGTGGGGCAAATCAGCAGGACTTGGGCAGGAGCTGAGTCAGGTTTGGAGACTTCCAGAGAGTGGGGGTGACTTAGGCGTCAGCTGAGACATGGGCCGGGGGATTCCTGGCAGACGTTCCTGGCTCAGGCTGGCAGATGCTGGCATGGGGCCAAGAGGGTGGGGTGCACCTGGCTCTCTTTTCTCCCTAGCTCCCCTCTCCGAGGAGCTGTGCCCCTGTGCACCAAACGGCGCCTGAAGGAGGAGCAGTGAGTCTGGGGACAGGGAGGGACTCCCAACAAGACCTCTGGCAACTCAGGTCCCCATCAGCCTGCCTCCCCTCCGCATAGCCCAGCCTACCTGCCTCCTGGTCTCTCCCCAGGGAGCCCCAGCGCAAGCAGTTCCTGTCCGAGGAGAATATGGCCACCCACTTCTCTCAGCTCAGCCTGCATAATGACCACCCTTACTGCAGCCCCCCGTTGGCATTCTCCCCAGCTCTGCCCCGACTCAGGTAAGCACCATCCACTGTCCGCTATCCGCTGACCAGGCCTTCTGGAGGATCACGCCTTCTGGAGGATCACACCTCCTGGGAGCCAGCCTCCAGGCCTTGCCTCATCCTGCTATTTTTAGCTTCTAGCCAACCTCTGTCGTTTCTCCTCCTCTTGGCTCCTTAGAAGGTAGAGGCAGCCCAGGAGCCCCGGGGGACCTGAACCTGGTAGGAGGCGGCTCTGCCAGGCCACCCTCAGCCCTGTGCCCTCGCTGTCATTTCCTCTTCCAGGAGCCCTTGCTCTGAACTGCTCCTCTGGCGCTACCCTGGAAACCTGATCCCCGAGGCTCTGAGGCTGCTGAGGCTGGGGGACACCCCTGCCTCCCACTACCCTGCACCCCAGCTGGGGAAATAATGGAGCCCTGACGGCCGGCAGACCGTGTACCTGCCCACGCTGCTGCTCCCCCACAACGGGGGAGATCAACACCCTCATGAAGGGAACAGCTGCCCTGCTTTTCCTCCAGACCAGGCCTGTGAGCATCAAGACCTTCCTTCCCCCAACAGAGAAAGACAGAGCCTGGGGTAGGAGGGACAGTAGCATGAAAAGGGAGGCATTCTCCCCCGTCCGTCCCCCCCCCCTCCCCCCCCCCCCCCCCCAGAAGAAATGAATAAACATTGCTGAGCAGATGATGGCTTCAGTCTGGAACCTGGGGCCTTTGGGAAGAGAGGGCCAGACCGGGGCACAAGATGCTTCAGTTTCTCCTCAAGATCTTCCCCGGAAAGCGGAAAGCGGTCAGGGTCTGCCCAGGTCCTGGCAGGCTGGGCTCAGGCATTGAGAATGTGTGAGTCAGAGCCTCACCCCCGCCCCCGAGGCTGACTCACTCCTCCCTCCAGCTCCGGCTGGGGAATCATGCCACTCTCCAATCCATTTAAAGTTAAAGATTCTTTTATTAATAAATTCTCCCGCCCCTCCAAACTTCCTACCCAAAATAAATATCTGCCCTCCTGTGAGGGTTGGTGGGGGCAGTGTCTCAGGGCCAGCCCCCTAGAGGGCCAGCCCCCTAGTGTTAGGAACAGGTCCCTAGCCCCCCAGGCTAAGACCCCAGTGCTGGGATTTCAGCACCTAGGAGTGGGTGGGACCTGGTGTTCTGTCTGCCTCACTTCAGCCTGACCCCCAGGCCACGGGGATAGGGGGCCTTTGTGCAAATGTTGCGGTTCCTAGTGTCAGCCATCTGGTGTGAGCCAGCCTGGGTCTCCTTTTCTGTCCCGGAGCCAGAGACAGCGCAGTCAGATACCTTGGAAGGTTCCTGTGAAGCCTGGATCCAGGCCTCAGATAAGTGATTCACCTGTCGTCCCCCCCCTGCACACCCCTGTGATGGGAATAGCGTGGCTCTAGTTGTCTGGGAGGCAGGGGCTGGCTCCACGATGAATGAATGAATGAATGGCGGGCGGGCACAGTTTCCCGATGACCAGGAAAGCTCGTGGTCACTGGATCAGCGCTGCGCCGGGACAGCCCTCCCCGCCGGTCTCCTCGATGGGGGCTGCAAAATAAGAAGGGGGGTCATCAAGAGCTGGGGACATGCTAAGGAGTGACGGCGGGGCAAGGGGGACAGGCACACTTACTGGTAAACTTCTCTCTCCTGCGGCACCGTCTCCAGACCAGGAAGCCAGAAAGCAGCCCCAGCACAAGGGCTAGGCTCAAGGCGCCCCCCAAGATGGGCCACAACAGCCCAAAGGAGGCTGAAGGAGCCCCAGCACCTGCAGGCAGGACTCAAAGTCAGACCTCACCCCTCTCCGGACCAGCCCCACCCCCTAGATCTGAGCCTCAAGTCTTTCCCCTACCCGGATTGGCGCCCCTGCCCCATTCGCCTCCCATCTTAATTCCCCCGATCTAAAGCCACCTGCTCCCCTCTCTACCCCAGCAGCTCCCCTATGCTGGGGTCCGCTCGCCTCTGGCCCCGCCCCCACTCACATCCCCGGCAGAAGTCGCTGTGCGGTAGGGCTGGACACGACTCGCAGTTCATGCACTTGTCGAGGTCCTCGCTCCAGGAGCTGCCGCGGGAGCAGGGAGTGGTGCCTGGGGAAGGGGATCAGAGGCTGGGGGCGGGGCGCGGCTATTCTGGGGGCCGAGGTCTGGGTCGGCGGCTCGTATAACGTGAGTCACCGGCGCCCTCTTCGCGCATTCCTCACAGGTGACCGCACCGC